AAAACAGTCAGTGGTGAAGACACAGAACCCTGTGATATTTTTATGGGATCATTCCTCAGTATAAACCTCAGCAGACTTGAAGTTCATAAGGAGCTGAAGTGTGGATAAAGCTTACTAAGTAGCCCTGCTTGCCATTTTGAACATACAAAGTCTAATTTTACTTCCCGGCTTTTCAACAGTTACTTTTGTTTAAAAAAGAAAATTTTTTTTTCTACATCTCAAATAATGAAAATCCATTTACTAGCTTAACTCAAGCTAAAAAGTTGGATTCTGGAAATTTAGTATTTTAAGAAATTCAGAAATTCTTATTCTTTAAAGATGATAAATTATTTCTGGACAAAAAACCTTTCCAGACTGCTTTATATTTCCTCTTCAGAAAACATGCTGTTCCATTACCAAGTAAAATGATATTTATCTGTCAAATAAATGAAAGTGAAAGCAAATATTCTAGTAACTTTCACCAACTTGTCCATATCTGGCAACCCCTTGTAATAAAAGGAACTTCACATTTTACAAGGCATACATGTCATTTTGTGGATTATTTGCTTCAAGAATCTTTCTTCCATGAAGAACAGTCCTTCTGCTCACAGATATAGTAGTACATGGTTTAGTGGGCATGGTTGTGTTGGGTTAACGGTTGGACTTGATGATCTTAGAGGTCTTTTCCAACCTTAATGATTCTATGATTCTATGATTCTGTACAAATGCTCACAAAAGAAAGTTGGTTGCCATATTCTAATTCCTAGATGTAGCTCCTAAAAGCAAGAGGCACCACATACGCAAAGCATCCAATTACCTATAGACAAGCACTACAGGTGGCTCTACTGTTTTTTCTTTTGGGTATTTCTAATCAAATTCCAATGCAGCTGAAGGTGAAAATATCCTTCATTTAAACATGAAGTTCACTGATAAACTGGTGCCTAAAGTAGTAAGAGTCCCCAGTAGATTTAACAGAGAGGGAAGAATTATCTTCCCCACAACACATCCCCTAAACTCTCAGAGAAGGCTGGTTTACTGTTAGAACTGTGCCTGCTGACAAATTCCACATGAAATCAACATTTTTTTGCCATATAGATACCACCAGACATCATTTCTTCACGGATAGCCGAAAGCACAAAGAACCAAAATTAGGGGCAACATGACATACTGACTTGAAAAAGGAGGTATTTGAGGAAGTTTGCAGTCTATTTCAGTTCAAAAGAAAAAAGTCAGGCTACCTTTAGCATTCACAGGCTTATCAGATATAACTTGAAGGCTGCGTACAAACGAAACCAAGCAGTAAAATTAAGACTAGTGAACTTTAAAAATGTTCAGAAGAAACAAAGTCCCTGATTTAAAGGCTTCATGCTTTCCTAGTGCAAAAACAGGTTTGTAACTTGAAAGTGATCAAAACAGAAATCCTTTTCCTGAGACTACATTCCAAGCTATAACACTTTATCTATGTGGTTTTAACTCAACCCACAGTGGCATTTCAGATGCTAGCAACACAAGCTATTTTGCTTTAGACTGGATGCATCTTAACATAGTGTTCTAGTTTCAGGCCAGCCAGGAGATAGTAATATTTAGTGCAATCAATCAGCCATTAAAACATAGTACTCTTAGGAACAGCTTTGCCAAGTGAGTTAGTGTCAAATAAATAGAAAAGTAGTTGTCTAAGTATTTTAATCTACTCCAAGGACCTTTTATGGTCAAGCATATGGAGAAAGGATAATTCAGGCACAGAAAAACAAATACGACTTGTGACAGGCCCTTAAAAAGTGACTTTCTGCTACTTTCTGAACAAGTTATTTCAGATGATTCAGACAAACATAACCCACCTTTTTGGTGGGTGAGTATTAAGTCACTTGCCTTTACAGGCTCAAATCCCTGCCAACAGGAAAAAAATTACTTTCATATGACGCGCTTTAGCTAACAGGAACTCTATTTAGGAACCGCATTCCTATGGGCTTGCTCCCCACACAATTACCTGAATTATAAGGGGGGAGAGAGAGAAAGAAAACACATGTCAGGAAACACCAAAAAGTGACAAATTCATAGAACTGATAATCTATGAACATAAGAGATACTGCTCATGAAATTACCTTTGCAAAGGAGATGTGGAGGTACAAGGAAGGTCTTAGAAAAGAGGTCTCTGGTGAAACAGAAAGATGGAAACTAAAGGGCAAGAAAAAAGGGAATGGACTTTGAAGTCAGTGTAAGTGGTTATACCTCTGAAGCAACCCAGGCAGTGTTAAGCATGTAGGAGTCCCCTTGACATTAAAAAAATGTCATAAACAGTTAGTAACTACTATACATTAACAGAACCAGAATATAAACTTCTAACAAAATAAGGGACAAACTTCTATAACAATGATTAGAACTGAACTTCCAGTTCAGTGATTGTAGTTATAGAGATCTTCAGGTAAAACCCAGAATACAATAAACTCTCAAATTTTTGCCTGTAGTTCAAGTTTCTGACCACAAGCTTTTATAGAAAATTTTCAATTTCCTGACAGAGAACACTCAGGTTTTAACAGAAGGCAAAAAAGTATAGTTCAACATATCACTTCTAGAGTGCAGAGACACCTCACCAAAAATGTTATAAATAACCACTTATCTTTGATTCTATTTTTCCTTGCATGTTTCTGAAAATGTGATGGAAATCAAGCAGTTTATGCTGGAATTTAATCCCACATGTTGTAGTATGTTATTATCATTATTTACATACTAGTATTGCAATAGGGAAATACTGCATGTCATATTATTGTAAGAGGAAAAAACAATTCATAAAGAGTAAGGAGGGCACACACTAGAAACACAAGTTACTTTGCTGGAATTCTCCAATGCACTTGAACGGTTGATCTTCAAAGTAGATTACCAAGATTACAGGATAAAGTATATGACTGCCTTTATGAGGCAATCACTACTCCTGCCGCAAGAGGATTTACATAAAATAGCTTCTAATAATGCTTTTCTTACCCAGCAAGGCAGAGCCACACTTTAGAAGTAATAGACAACAAGAAAGTACAGATGAACATACATGATCTGTAGAGACAACTGTTTTCAGAACGCTCCATTTACTTTGTAAGTATTATTGCAATAAAAGTGGAAAGGATGTGAAAGTAATTAATTGACATATGTCATATTTAAGGCACTTCAATCTCTCAGCAGTGTAGGATTAACAACTCTATGCTTATTAAAGTACTTAATATTATTTATGTTACAGTAGTGCCCAGAGGCCCCAACTGAGACTGAGGCCTCTCTTGAGCGGAGTATTAGAAAGTCATTATCACATTAAGTCAAAGGATTCCCTTTCAAATGATTTAAAAAAAAAAAAATTCTTTTGTTTAAGCCAAATTACTACCTTGATAAGCTTTGCTACAGCTGTTTAGCTCATCTTTATTTTTAATGTCAGAAAGAAGTAAAAGCATACTGCATATTTTTAAACAGAAAGCCAGAAGCAGCGTAGCTCCGAAACACATATGCCTTAGACTTCTCCCTGCCTTTCAGGCCATTGGGTTTAGACACACAGACGTTCCTTCATTTATCAGTACCTGTATAAAGAGGTTCGTATAACTAGATTGCTGTCTCTCCACCCTTTACAGAACAAAACCCCAAACCAAACCCTAGCATTAGTAGGTCTGTGGGAATTCTGAATCCAACTAGCAAAATTATCTGGGACATATTAGTAGGCTCTCAAAATTCTCACTAAGATCAAACTACTGAGTGTTAAAGTTCACATGGAGCAGGCAGAATCTGCATAAACTTCTTAGAGGCATTATTGAAACAGATGGTTCAATAATACGAGTTTCCAAACAAATAATTGTATATACAAATATTAGTACAATCTGCTGCTGTAAAAATCAATGCCTTTTTCAAATTTTTTCCGACACAAATATTTTTTCCAAACTTCAAAAGCTGTACTGTCATATCCCGCATAATTAACTTTTGGTTTATACTAACTGGCCCACTGAGACTATTCATTATATTTTACTTGTAAGATCTGTTGGATGAAAGCCAGCACAACTCTCTCCAGAGAGTCTAAAAAAAATTTAAATTATAAATTATAAAAAAAACATTAGGTAACCATTAGTATCAAACAAAACACAAACACCCCTCAGATTACTCTGCATACGTTAGTAAAGCTAATTAGTCAGGTGTTGCATTTTCATCTGTTATGAGATAAAACACACGACTTCTGATCAAGTATTCAACAACCCAGTGTATGTTGGCACAGCAGCCACAAGCCCGCTGAGGATCAGAAGTAATCTACCTGACAAGGACACTCCTACTGCACCCTGTATGGTCACAGGCACTGGGCAGCCAGCACCTACCACAGCTCTGGTGGCACACAGAACAGGCATAAGTTGGATTGCGAAAACACTAGCTGAACTTTTCTGTAGTTTGCTTATTTCAGTGACAGACTCAGCAGAAGTTATCAATATGTCGTAATTTCTCCACACTCGATACCTTGCCCAACCAGTTTTTCCCTGACCTGTCTTATGTGTATTTTACAAAAAGTTTTGGTCTGTTGCAGGCAATCCTGAGCAATTTAAATGGTTCCTTAATTTCCACAGTTTAACATTGGAGTTGAATAATCTGTTCCAACAAATCATCTCTGGAATTCATATGCTCTAAAATGCTTAATGAAGAACAGATTTTCAGTGAGATTCCCTATTTTCCTGTCTCAGGGAAGGATCTTGCCAGATTACAAAGCTTCACTTTTCATTCTTTTCAAGAAGAAACTACTTTACTGGAGGTATGAGACCCCAGGTTCTACCTTCACTCAAGAAAAACAGAATATCTGAAGCACAGTACAGCAATTCTAGTATTCTTCTAGAATTAACAGTATGCCCTTTAATTAAATCAATATTTTATTAAACAAAGAAAAAACACTTTGAATTTTCCTTTTACAAGTCACCTTATCTGTTACATACCTCAGAACTGTTTGTTAGAATCTACAAGCAAATTTCACAACTGGAAATGAATCTGAAAAAAATAAACTTCAACAAGTTACTTACTGTAAATTTGCTACTTTTACTGATACAGGAACGTGGGGAAGTTGAGTGGCCCATTTCAGTGTAACATCTTGATAAACATTCAACATTTTACTATGGTTTCCAACGAGAGTGTTTATTGTTCCTTCCTTCACTGTTAAAGATATAAAACCAGTTTTAGGATGAAAGATTTTCAAAAGCCAGTACTTTTCTTTAAGGCATATATCATTACACTATTTCTTCTTTTCCTTTTAAGCCATTACTTGTTATAAATGAATTAAGTATAATTAAAGTGTCAAAAGTTATGAAAGTTACATTGACAATAACCAAGGGTATATGTGATTAATTATAGATACCAATTTCAATTTCATACTACACAACATGTGCCACAACTTTCCAAGGTTCTAGCCAGCCATGTTTGGTAATTTAAAACATGACTAACAAAGACTCATAATTGCCATGTTAGCATGCCAGGATAGATATGACAAAATACACGTTGGTTAAATATCAGCTACTTATACTCTTCATTAATTCATTGACCTGTGAATACTGATTAAAGGTGTATGCATTTGTAGTTTTATTTATAGGATAATATAAATCAGAAAGTATAAAGTGTGAAGATTGTTAAGATCATATTCATAAAGTCTAAAATGATATTTTAAGTCTAAAGTAAGACATGGTGTCAAAAATTTATCAGTTAGTTTTTGAAACATTAATATAGAATAGGCATTAAGAATCTGTAGTTCTTTAGTGGCATCCAACCAAGTTGCTTCCATACAATGTAATAAGTTAGTTTCATCTCCTAACAGTAAACTTTATTTGGTTTTTTTAACTATCAGTAAATAACAGAAGGTCCTCAAACACTAGTTTACTCTTCCAAAATCTCTCATTCTTCCATGTTTGTTACTTTGGTAGCCTAGGCAAACCTACTCAAACACTAGACAAGTATCTCAATTTGGTGATGAGAAAATATCTATTTAGATTCTAAAAATTATGACACTTGACACTAAGTAACATTTGAAAATAAACCTGCTTAATCTAAAAAGAGAGCTCTGGTTCCACAGATTTTCTACAAATCAACAGCTTATTCAGAAAAATATATTTATTCAGTGGAAAAAAAATTATTAGCAGTAAAAGTAACCAAGCTAAAGTTAAGTTGAATTTTCCTTTTACAAACCTGAACAATAAGGAATGAAGCAACTCGGACTGTAATCAAGCTTTTTCATGAATCGAATTTGCCCATTATCCTTAAGGCAAAAGAAGTTTCTCTCACCAAGCACAAAAACAGAAGAAACTGCCTGATTAAAGGAGACAACGCATATATCCAGTGCTTGCTCTCCGATGTTTAAAACCCAATCCACCTTCAAAAGAAAAAACATGCTCCAGAGATCAGCTGACAGCTGCATATTAAAGGCAAAACTTATAGAGAAGGCTTAGAACTCATCAAGTTACATGAATATCATTAACATACATAGAAAAGCGAAATCAAGGTCTTTTTTTGAATGAGAAAGTATTAGTTATCCTCTTATTTTGAAAGTAGTTGGTGACTTTCCTTATTGTGAGTAAAGCAGCAAAAACATCATCCACTTCTTGAAATAGTCGTGAATTGATGGCTATGCAGTTCACTTAAGTATATTTAAATTTTAAAATACACATGCCATTCAATATGAAAATGCTTTATTCTTTAACTATTAAATCCAAGAACAGAGTATTAGAATCATCTGTACATGTCCTTAGATATTAAGGGCAAGGTTAGAGAGCAAAAGGTGATAACTTATTCTACCAATACATGTAAATGGAAAAATAGACAAAGTTTTAAGTGTGTAAGCCAATATTCATGCTTGCAGTCGCTAATGTATACCCTTGAATCTGAGGAATGTTTGTGTATATGATAGCTTGTCTGCTTTTCCAACTACATACATTGATATAATAAACAACTACTTACAAATCCTGCCTTGCCTATATCCTTACATCTTTAAACAATACTACTGCTTATTGATACATTTCATTGGTTTGTTATTTCAGCTCCTCTGAGAAATTTGAACTAATTCATACACGCAAAAATCGCTTTTGACTGCCGCCAAGCTGGTTAAACAGAAATTCAGAATTTCTGAAGTCAGAAAATATGGAAGTTCAACTGTCAGCACTTCCTATATGAACAGCATCAATCATTTTGCTTAAAGAACATAGAATGTGCTAGTAAACATACTGGCATGTTTGATATATGAAGCTGGAAGTGCCATCTTAAAAGTCAAAGGGAAAAAAAAGCCAGGCTTATTACATTCATCTCCATGTATGCTTCTCATTTTAGATTAAAGAAATGTATTTAATTTGCAGCACACCCAATGAAGCTTCCAAATTTCTTCAAACACTATGTCTTCTCCTAATTCAAAATGTAGGATTCTGACTGACTTACAGTTTGAAAAAATTCTACGATTAGCCACTGGAAGGAAGATGCTCTCCCAATATTTTACTGTCATACCTGAAATATGCTGAATCTAGGATTTTATTTAGTATATTTAGCAGACAAGCAATTCTACTGCAGGATCACAGAGAATGAAATTCTTTTCCTCTTAATAGGAGGCATCTCAAATATTAAACAACTTAGTCACAGGGACCTTCTGAAGACTGCTGAATCCACAGGTTTTTGACAAAAAGAGTCCAGGATACTGACTATTTATGGAAACATTTTTCACTGCTGATTTTCTCCAAGTACAAAGGATTACCCAAGTAGAATGAGGTTAATTTTGTAAGTCCAATACAAAGTCAAAAATAGACTTAAATTAAAAACATGAGCAATATTTCAGGTGTACCTATTTATCTATTTCACTACAGTTTAGGTTCTGTATTACAAAGACTGCCTTAGAAATAGTTATTTCCAGTACACAGTTCTCTCTTTTTTTTTTTTCTCCTTAGAATAACAGTGAGTTTTAAGGCCCAACCTTAAATGACTGAGGCCCAAAGCAATCTTAATAGAAATCTACTGAAGTCCTTCCATTGCCTTTAATGGCAATTGGATCGGGTCCTTTGTCAGCAGAGAATATTTCCGTTCGTTACTCAGCATTGGTCTTTTTAACATGTATGCAGTGTACCATACAGGTTACATAAAATAAACAGGTTTTACCGCAAGTCTTTTTCCAGAACTAAGTTTTTGCTGTTCTGTTTCTTGTCTTTCATTAGCATCTGTCGCAAATGCCAGCACTTGATATCTGTTATAGGAAGTTTAAAAAAGTTAAAAAAAAAAAATAATCTTTGTAGTTAATACCCTTACATTAACTAAAAAAAAAAAAAATTATCGTATTATGAGTATACATACACCGTAAAAGCACAGTCTAAAAGGATTGTTAGAAAGCCTACTGCAACACATCTATCATCAGCAAAGATGTTAAAATAAATATCACTGCAGGATAACAGCTATGTGTAAAGGCAGAAATTAAAACAAACATTTCTATTCAGATTTTATCTGGTGTTAAAATGAATTCAACAGCTCAATATATTAGAGGATAGAAATCTAGACCCCAAAGAAGACAGAAGCAAGAAATCAACATATTTTCAAATTGTGAAATTAGGATTCTAATAAAAGAATTATTATTTTTTCTCTTATTAAGCTTTAAAAAAAAATTCTAAACTACCCTGAAATACAATCTGCTATATCTAATAGTTACACTCTCAAGCACATCCATTAAGTAAACTAAGTGGTTCCAATCCAAGAGATAACAGTAAACTGGCACCAGTAGGTGGCACATCTAGCAAAAGATGGGAGGTTTGTGGGTTTGGTTTTTTTATTATTTTGTAACTGCCAACCAACCATACTAAGAAAAATTGGCAATGAAGACATTAGAACAAAAGATGTCAACTGTCATAAAAGCTCCACACATCTATCTGTCCTCATTTACACCTATGCAATCCTCAATGTTCAAACTGTATCCTCATTGACTCTTCTGTAACTATTTCTTTCCTGAATTTGTGCTGGTGTCCTAACTTACTGAACTATTCTGTTTCCAATGTATGCACATCAGGTAATCTGTAAAATACTGAAGATTCCTACAAAAGTGAAATAAACAACAACAAAAAACTTATCCAAAAGATAGCATTCAATTCTGGAAGTCATGGAGTGTCATCAGCTCCTAAGCTTAAACCAACACAATTCTGAATGTTCCAATTCCAGTCTAGCAAATAAAAGTACATATTTTTGTATATTGTTAAAGTTATAGATATAAAATTATGACACCAGCAGCCCTCACATTTCAGATGCATGTATTGTGGTGCTCGCTACTGAAGGATTTTAGTTTCTAAAATTATTTTACTTACAGAAGTAAACTATGTACTTGGAGTAAGAAATTTAATTGCTTAAGGTAAATGCCATGACCTAGTTAAAAATACTGCTTTTAGTACAATTATCACGTCTTTAAGTGTCCTCTATATGAGCAAATTCACCACCCTTTTTCAGTTTAACACATTTATAAGAGAACTTGCAGATTCTGACCTAATAAAATTTTCTCTTTTCACCATATTTTATTGATGGCTAGCACATTATCATTTTATGAACTAATCAGGGACTAATACATAGTTTTCAAACCAAACTCCCATTGAACAGCAATATGTATTGATGTTTAAGTACCAACTGCCTGCATACAAGTCTTTCATCACAAAAAACTCAAGCCACAGATGACTAACACAAACTTTGAATTCAGCTATCACATCAAGTATACAATCATTTAAATAAGAGGCATTTTGCTTTTAGATCTTGAAAGAATTCAAAATAAACACAGGAAATATTGCTTTCAAATGAAGGCATTGGTCTTCTCTGTATGAGCTATAGGAAGATGGATAATTTGAAATTTGGCAACTTGTTCTACTAAAAACACGAGATAGAACTGCTCTGTTTTTCATTTACTATAATAAGAGAAAGCATGTTTAATACAACCATAAAAATAAGCTCTTTTCTCCTTACCATGTCTATTTCCTTCACTTTAGAAGGATGTCCTAATAGTTCAGACACACACTAGAGATTAGTACCACAGTGTCTTAACACTTGGCACTAAAGACCAATACCCAGAATCCAAGTGAAGAATTCCTTTAAAACTACACCTTCCTACAATAAAGACAGCATATTTGTGAATCAGTGACAGACTGAGGAAAAATTCTAGCCACATTTGTTGTAAAAGTCAAGAATCTAAACATAATGAAATGCATGAGATATTCATTTTAAAGAAAAAATATTTCTTTATTCCTTGCCAATATTAATAAATTCTATTCTAATTTATTTCTTAGGAAAAAATATGAATTTTCTATTAAATTACTTTTACTTGCAACATGTATCTTCTCCTGTATTAAGAAAACAACACATGATGTCTATAATCTGCTCATGCAATATCCAGAATCTAACAACCATCTGATCAAGCTTAAGCAGCTTATTAAAAAGAGTATTGCTTGAGAAATTCAGGTGATAGAGCAGGGTAGCGTGACAAAGCATTGTGTTAGATTAACATTCCCCAGATTAGATTCCCAAGGCATAATCTATAAAAAGTGGCATTCTTATTTTCTTTGATACTATTACCTCTGAAAAAATCCTTAAGGTACTTGTCAGCCCATTCCTCCAGTTTGATGAGATTCCTCTGAATGTTAGTCCTACCCTCTTTATATTAGCCACTTCCTACAATTTGGCATCATCCTTGAATTTCAGGACATGCATTCTGTCCTATTGTCCAGGATGAAGATGTTAAAGAAATACTGGCTCCAGTATCAGCTCCTGAGGAACATCACTCATCTTTGGCTGCTGGTTAGATCTGTGGACAACTACTACTCTGTAAGCCTGACAACTCTGCCACTTCTTCATCCATTTTTTAGTTCTTTTTTTAATGATGGGTAGTAGCTCTGCCCCAAACACCACACGACCCCAATTTACTGCTAGGCACAGAGGTTCAAAAAGCCTAAGAGCAGACTTTGTCAGTTTTAATGGAGAAATGATGAGGCAAAGCAAGCATTAAGTTCCTTGGTATTTTCACACCTTTGTTAAATTTGCCCAATCTGTTCAGTAGTGGGTCAATTTCCTGGATCTACCTTTTTACATCTGAGGTATCCGTGGAAGTCCTTGTTCTTTAGATCCTCTGTCAGTAGAAGTTTTAACCAAGCTTATATCTTCTCAATCCCATCCCCTGCATTCTCACGTGATGTTTTATATTCCTCCTTAGTAGGCAATTTTAACTTCCATCTCATACATTTCCGTTTGAACTCACTCAGGAGCTACCTGTCCAGTCAAGCTGCCTTCTGCTACTTCTTATTTTCTTGAACATCGAAATGGATTGTTCTTGGTCTTTGAGAAGGTTATCCATGAAGATTCTCCAGCTCTCCTGAGCCCTTTTGCCCTTTAGGGCAGCCTCTCACAGGATCCTGCCTACCAGTTCCTTGAACAAGCCCAAGTCTATTCTCTTGAAATCTACAGTCTTTACTCCACTGCTTATCTTCTTCACCTCTCTCAGGATCTTAATCTATATCATCTCATGGTCACTGCAGCCAATGTCTAAAACACTCAACGGCAGATGCTGACTATTAGTTCTCCAAACATTTCTTCCTTCTTTCTGAGTTGTTGGATTGATCAAAGCATCTTCCCTAGCCAGGCTGCCTAGCACCTGCATCAAAAAAGTTTTCCTTAATACACCTCAGAAACCTTCCACATTGCTGAAGTCCATTATGTTGCCCTCCCAGCAGACATTAGTTGTCCATGAGAACAAGGGCCTGCAATTGGGAAACTTCTTGTTTAAAAAAGGCTTCAGAGCAGACACCCACCACAACATCCCCTTCCTCAAGCATCCATCTGATTTAAACAGATGGATGCTTGATAAACTCTCAACATGGTGGTTCCATAAGAGAGCCCCATGTATTCAAGCTGCTCCTCCATGGTGAACGCAAGTCCCGCCTTGTCTGTCTTTTCTTCCTGAAGAGCCTGGAGTCATCAATTACAGCACCTTAGTCATGCAAGCTACCCTGTCACATCTCTAACTGCACACACAACTTCTAGTTCCTCCTCTTTGTTGCCAAGCCTGTAGGTGTTTGTAAATACGCACTTAATATGGGCCCTCACTCATCCCACTTTTTCTAAGGTATTATGAAAGCATTCCCCTTTGTGCACTTGACCCTTATACCATCACTTACATAGGATTTAGCACCTATCCCTCAGTCTAGAAGTCAAGGAGGTTAACAAGCCTCCTCTGCCACTTTGTCAGGTGGATTCCATCTCTCCCCACCAGGCCTCATTCCTTTGAGAGGATCCTATGATCACAAAAGCTAAGGCCCTGTCTCAAATCTCTTCTGAAAACTGAACAGATTCATCAGACTAACATCTATTTGCATCAAAATAAAAATCCCGTTGAAACAACTGGAAGGAACATCTTGCTCAAGCAGTATAGTGCAGACAACACTGAAAGCACAGATTAGACTGAACTGAAGCAGGGAAAAACCTGGCACTTGCAGGACAACATGATGTACCTTGATAAGCTAGTAAACTTAACTTATTTATACAAATAAAATAGGACAATAAAGTCCTCAGGACACACAGTATGCTTTCTTCTATGACTGTACAGAGACAGTAATCACTCAACAACATACAATATTTTATTTTTCTTCTTTCTACAACTACCTATCACCTGTTTTGCGATTGAATATTACTAAAGGCAATCAAAATTAGACACGATTACTTTTAATTTGTTTACATACTAAATGATAGCACCAAAATATGCTATAATTACTGAAGATGGACACATACTTGTAACTCTCAACCTGTCGACAAGAAGACACTGTAATGAAAGAATCTGTCCGAGAGCTGTAAGTCAAGGGACCAGGCAGAAGAAAACCAGGTAAAAAGCGGCCAAAAGCATAGCTTTCCTGTTCAAACAACATGAGCATCCCATCCATGGACTGTATGCATATCAAATCTCGACCTAAGGAAAGCAAAAGAAAGAAATACAAAGGAAACAAAGCAATGTTATTTATATAGTTTTAATTCTAAATTGTTAGTAAATTAAAATGGTACTCATAAGTAATCCTAACAAAAATAAGATTCATTTTAATTTACATGACTGCTTACTATGAGGAAGAACACTAAACATTCCAACCTCAATAAAAGCTTACTTACTAAAACAAACAAACTAGATTTTCTGGGGAATAACATTCAGAATATATTAATAGCAAAAAAAAGAGTTAGATATTTTATTTCAAACCAAAATTTCTAAAGATATAACTATTACAATTTTAGTTTAAAGAAATGTTTCAATATTTCCAAAACCCCAAATTATTCTGGTTCTTAAATGCCTCTACACCTTACAAGCACTCTTTAAACCAAAACCGTGGTTTAAAAATAACCTATTCTATTCTTTCAAGTCTACTTAAGCAACATAACAGAAAGTCCTACAAATATGTGGTGTTGTGAAAATAATGCAATGGAAATGTTTTTCACACTTTGGATTCACATTTTCTGTCTTCAAGGAAAGAAAAAACAAACCAGGCCCACTCAGTGTTACCAACAAGACCAAAAAAAAAAATCAAATAAAAAAATTCAGCTTGGAGTAAATTACTTCAAGCTTCATCCATTATTCAGCAGCCTCAAGACATAACTTAAGACATGACTTGTCGTGCCTCAAGTACACCAATCTAAATTCAAAGTCTCATTTTGAAGACTTCTGAGATCAGAAGCCCATTATGCAGTTTGCATTTCATATGCAAGGGTTACAATTCAAACAAACAATATTCTGCATATATTCAAATAGAGAGCTATACCAGTAAGACTAACACCTCTGAAGTTGATAGAAGTATCTCTCCTGAATTCAGAGATAAGCCCCTATCTTGCAAACACAACATGAAATACTTGTAATTCAAAATGTCTATTCACCTCCATTAAAAGACTCCGTTGTGTCTCAGGAATTATTCTATATGCATGGAGGACCCAAACAAATTCACTAAGCTCCATCCTCAATCCTTTAAGAACTGTTTTCTAACATAGGAAGGTGAAGCAAAACAAAAATAGACTAAGACTTCATTCTTGCACTTAGACAAAGGTATCAAAGGTCAAAGAGATATTCAGTATCTGAAAAAGCAACAAATGTAAAGTACAGTGCAAAACATTGTCCATCTCCACTGTAATTCTTCATAGAAACTTTAACTACTTAAAAATAAATAGTAGTGTAATAGGGCAGCAGTACATCATGTTACTTGTCCTTGTGATTAAAACATACAATAAAAATTTAGCTTAGGGTAAGAACAGAAAAAACCAAAAGGAAGGTAAAGCAGCTGGGTCCTTTCCACTTGCCTTCCCTCATCCCTTTTTCAGATTTTCCCATTTTCTAAAAATCAAGTTCTCCCATCCTTCTTTCCAGATTCTGCACATAATTTGTTACATGTTCTATGAACCCTGTTGCAAATATCAACCGTTTGATAGGAAGGACATTTGAAAGTGTAATTCATGTTGTTCATTTGGTAGAGGCAAAGTTGAATCTCTTAGTCTCTAGCGAAAAAGTTAAAATACTTCAATCCTTCACACCAATGATTATATAGATAGAACTGCAAAACAATTTCAAAAGCGTAACTTCAGGAACACTGATGGCATTTCAAGCACTTAATCACACCACCTGTTTTCTTCCCTTATGTTCTACATGGACCTTTTCTGAAAACCTTATGGAGTTTTGTTGGTTTTCTCTGTTTGAAAACTCCTAAAGTGCATACATTTTGAGGGAAAACATTAACTGACAATATCAAACACTTAAATTTTGCTTTAGCAAGGTAGTAATAGCATTTCCAATTGACAAATTTGTAAATTAAAATATAGAAAAGAATTTGATTCAACATTAGGAAAATCCCTTATTCCTTATTAAACATGAGAGAAGTATTCCTTTAATCAAGAATCCTTGGTGGCTTCGAAAAGAAATTTAGCTGAGAAACAAAGAAAACTCATCTTCCTAAGCCGAAAAATGTTATACAAAAGCAATTCAACGTGGAAATCATTAAAGTACTGTTCAAAAGTAGTCAGACTGAGATTTTGCCTGATACTGAAGTCAAACCAATATATCTGGTTTTTTTCTACTACTGCAAGTGAGAAAATTTAAATATATCATCTTTATAGCAGCTCATTAAACCAGTGACCACTTGTCACTAGCAACTTCAGTTTGATGATTTAAGTCTCAAAAGTTTAATCTATAACATTCTGAAGTTTGTACCCCTACACTGGAAACTTGAAACATTTTAAATGTTTCTTCTACGTGCAGATTAAAGCCATACATCCTTCTAGGAAATGTAAACTCTTTACCTCTGTTAACAGCAAAAGTCAATGAAGCAATGTTTCCTGTGACTAAATGCAATCATTTTGAGAGAATTATGGGTTTGACATAGATCTCCAAAAGCATTTTCTAAACAGAACAATTGTTTTAGAGCTATGATTTTCCTAGAATTTTCTACACAGACTTTTAAAATTATAAAGCAGGGTCTAGGGCTTCTGTTCAATTTTAGAATTTATTGTTTGCAAAATTAGAAACATTCTACAGTATACAAACACATTAAATATGCATATATATGCACACCTCTTAAATGTGTACGTTTCCCCTGAAATTATTTGTATAAAGCAGCTTTATTAAGTCTTTAAGAATCATTTACCCTCTTAAATATTCTTCATAGGACAGATTTCAGAATTGTTTGATTTTTTCATAACTTGTAGCTGACATTCTGCAGCTGAAATACGTGGTATTCAAGAGGTTACAGCGACTACTGATGATAGTCAGGATGAACATGTGGTTTGCTGCTTATACCGAGTCTCTGAAGTACTAGCCAAGAACACTGCAATGACTTTACTAACATACGATTCAGAAATTAGTGAGAGTGATCTATAAATAAGTACCTTATATGTTTCAATTAAAAAATAAAGCAAGATGCATATGTGAATTTGAAAGTTATTTAATATTAAGGTTCCTACAATTCTGAATGTTCTGCTTTTCATCACTAACAGCTGACATTATCAATTATTATTAGTGTAAATAAAAGAAAGAAAATGCATGTATTCATAAAAGAATTGTAGCAACTGCACAAGTTCAAAGAGTATCACTGGAAGCACACTAAGGCTGTGAGTAGAAAAATGAGTGAGACCAATCTAACACTTTGCTACTGCTAGCAGGAGCAGTCCTGCTCACCTCCTTCCCTCTGGGCCTCCAGCTCCCCTTGCTCAGTTCACATAGTTCCTCCCCACTCCCAAGCCAGATCTAGTACTTATCTGATGGCTGTTAAGCTGATAGTAGGACACCACACTGAATTTGTAATTTTTTTAAAAAAAGTTTCAGATGAGCGAATCATCACCCCACATAAGTAACTCCATACAAGCTTAGCGACTGCCAGGGGTGACCTGGAAAGTATCAAGTGTAACATGGCTCTGGGGGTGATGGCTAAGGGCATGAGGGCCCAGGTGGTTTTCCTCCTTAATCCTGCTGAGGAAGGGGAAGGGCATGAGGAAGACTGGATGTATCCTGTGGGCCAATAATTGGTTGCACAGTGGGTATCCGCAACAGAGCTGGGTTTTATGACCATATGACCCTCTTTGAGGATTGACAGCTGTTTGGAAGAGACAGGATCCCCCGACTAAATCCAGCAAAAGTATCTTTGCCAACAGGCTTGCCAACTCAGTAAGAGCAACTTTAAACTAGGAATGACAGGGGAGGGACAGATTTTACAACAATCAAGTGAGGGAGTGGTAGATGGCGTAGGCAAGCAAAGGGCCCCGGGATGACATGAACCAAAGGGACACAGCAATCAACAAAACAGGGCTGAAGTGGAATCACCTCAAGCACAGGAATCCAAGTAAGGAAGTGCCCATGGAACAGCAGCCTTATGGAGAAAGCTCTCATGGCCTTTTTGAGTGCCTCCCTGAAATGCCTCTACAGTAATGCACACAGTAAGGGGAAAACCAGGAGGAACTGGCAGTCTGTGTGCAGTTATAGGGCTACGACCTCACTGGGATCACAGAGACATAGTGGGCTAGCTCACATGGCTGGAGTGCTAAGATGGATGCATCCAGGCCCTTTAGGAAGGGCAGGCCAGGATGGTGATGGGGAGTTGTCCTTATTAGCAAGAGAGCACCCAGAATGCATGAAGTTCTGCCTGGGGAGACGTGGTGAGCCAGTCAAGAGCTTATGGGTCAGGATTAGTGAGCAGACCAATATGAGTGTCTGCCATAGGCCACCTGGTCAGGATGAGGTAGATGAGGCACTCTTCAGACAACTGGCAGAAGCCTCACATTTGGTGGCTCTGGTCCTCATGGGGGACTTGAACCACCCTGATATCTGTAAGAAGGACAACAGTGGGACACAAGAAATCTAGGAAGTTTCTGTAACACATTGACAAAAACTTCCCAACTCAGGTGACTGATGAGCCAAACAGGAGGGGTGCTCTGCTGGACCTGATACTTAAAGGCAAGGAAGGATGTGAAGGTTGGAGTACAGCCTTGGCTACAGTGACTATGAGATGGTCAGGAGGATGGTCAGGATAAGTTCAGGAGCATAAGAGGAATGAGCAGGGCATAAAACAGGACCACAGCCCTAGACTTCAGGAGAGCAGACTTCAGCCTCTTCAGGGATCTGCCTAGAAGAATCTGTTGGGATATGGCCCTGGAGAGAAAAGGGGTCCAAGAGAGCTGGTTGAATATTCGAGGATCACCTCCAAGTTCAAGAACAGTCTATCCCAACAAGCAGGGAGTAAAACAAAGGCAGGTAGCAAGACACCTACGAGGATAAACAAGGAGCTCCTGACTACACTGTCATAAAAATAAAGTGTAGAAGAGGTGGAAGCTGGGACAGGTGACCTAGGAGGAATATAGGGATACTGTATAATCATTCAGGGATGGCATTAGGAAAGCAATAGCCCAGCTGAGTTGAATCTGGCAAGGGATGTGGAGGGCAGCAAAAAAGGA